TCTTCGATCGTTCCTGTCTTCAAGAACTCCGGCGACCCTCTGACCCTTCCAACTACCGTCCTATCAGTCTCCTTCCCCTCTTCGGCAAAGTCTTCGAAGCCCTAATCAATACCGAGGTGGTTAACCACCTCACATCCCATAATCTGCTCTCAGACAAGCAATATGGTTTTCGCTTTGCCCGAGCTACAGCTGATGTGCTTACGGCCATCACTGAAACAGTCTACCGAGCTCTTCAAAATAACGGGGAAGCCCGAGCCGTGGCACTAGACATCTCCAAAGCATTTGATAGGGTTTGGCATGCCGGCCTTCTTTGCAAACTCCAGGGTTATGGCATTACGGGTCGATTATATAACCTAATACGATCATTCCTGTCAAACCGTGAATTGAAGGTCGTTCTCAACGGATTCTCCTCCAGTTCCTATCCCACGAACGCAGGTGTCCCTCAAGGCTCCATCCTAGGCCCCACTCTATTCCTTATCTACATAAATGACCTTCCTGACGCCATAACTTCCCAAGTTGGCATCTACGCGGATGACACCACAATTTATTCCTGCCTCAAAAACAAATCTAGTCTCGCTGACAAAACTCACCTGGCCGTGCGTCTCGAAAAGGACTTCCAATCGATTGTGAACTGGGGCATGAATTGGCTGGTCAACTTCAACGCTTCTCAGACAAAACTGCTCTCTATTAATCACCACAGAGATCCTTCCCTTCCCTCCATTAGAATGTCTGAGGCTCAACTTCTCGAGAGCAACTCTCTGCGGCTTCTCGGTCTCACGTTGACTGCTGACCTGAGATGGAATAAATACATTGAGTCATTTGCCTCGTCCACCGCAAGGAACATTGGCTTCCTGAGCCGCGCCAGGAAATTTTTCTCCCCGGAGTCGATCCTCCAGATCTACAAATCAACAATTCGCCCTTGCATGGAGTATTGCTGCCATATATGGTCTGGTGCCCCTTCTGTTTGCCTTGGGGTTCTTGATAGGCTCCAGAGGCGGATATGCAATGTAGTTGGCCCTGCCCTGGCGTCTCGTCTACAGTCACTTTCTCACAGACGCGCCGTCGCCTCCCCCTGTCTGTTCTACAGATACTTTCATGGAAATTGCTCCGAGGAGCTGCATTCGCTGGTTCCCAGACGTCATGAGTTCCAGCGCCTTACGAGGCTGGCATCCCGCTCTCACCCCTTCACTGTCGAAACTCCTAAATGTATCCGTCTCTTCTACTCAAATAGCTTCATGTCTCGCACCTCTCGCCTGTGGAACTCCCTTCCCTATTCCTGTTTCCTTGTGAGCTATAATCTCCAGCTATTCAAGTGTAATGTCAATCGACATCTCCAGTTGCCTTGATCTATCCACTACCCTCATCCTTTCTTCTATCACTCCTATCTGATCTTGCTCTAAACTTTCTGTAACCCCTTGCGTCCTAGTGGCTTCCCGTCGTGCTTGGGGTGAAATGCTTAAAAAAATAAAATTATTAAGCAGGGTTCTGACCTGTATTCTCTTAAATAGGGGAAAGCCTCGTATAGCCCGTCGTACCTCTAGACTGCTCAATCAGGAATAACAGTTACAGCAAAACGAGGTTGAATTCCTCTTATGAAGGGAAGCACATCTCTCGTTAAGACCTTTCAACGCCCTGACTCTATTTTCCTATCCGAAATGTTGACCAAATAAGAATTAATGAATTTTCATTTCAAATCCGGCACAAATTCTTATTACTCAATGCGTTGTATTTGGTGGATACAAGGATTAGCCCTCCGCGGGAATTAACAAAAGGAGTGAAGCTTTTAAGCTCGTAATTACATAAAAGGAGATAACGTGACAACTCAATACAGTGGGACCTCGGTTCACGAAGATATTTCGTTCCTGAAGGCCGAAATGTTCGTAAACCGAAACTATTTTTCCAATAGAAATTAATGTAGAGAAAAAAATTCACAATACAATAAAATTGGAGTGAAAAGCACGGTACAGCACAGGAAAGTATACAACATGGCGGTCGACTCAGAAATGATTCCATTCGGGTTAACTAGATTCGGCAATGTTGTTCGAGAACCGAAATTTTGTTCGATAACCGAGGCATTTTCATCTCATAAGTTCTTATTATTTTTACAAGCTTTCGTCTGTTCCTACAGACATCCTCAGGTATGGAATAGATTTTGTTCTTGTTTTTACTCTCAGTAATAAGAGGACAACGAAAATATATGTATTGTAATCCGAAAAATGCTATTAGAAATTAGTTAAAATAATAAGAACTTATGCAACAGAAATTTATAAAAACAAGGATCTTTTCATTCATAAACAGGTTCGGGGTTTTTGTATATTATTTGAATTGTTTGCGACGATGGATTTCTCGCCAATTAAATCATTAACCTTTGTATTTGTTTTTTTTGTATGAATAATTCATGAATTTGTAAATTAATTGCACTTTTATTGAAAGTGAAATATATATATATATATATATATATATATGTTGCAAAATGTACAAAAGCTATCAGAGGATGAAACACGTTTGTAAAGAAATCTTTTACTTTATTCTTTATTCATTTATATATATATATATATATATATATATATATATATATATGTGTGTGTGTGTGTGTGTGTGTGTGAGAGAGAGAGAGAGAGAGAGAGAGAGTAAAATAATATTATAATAAAGATACAAGTCCGATCAGAGGACAAAACACGTTCTCACTTTGGTAAAGAAAGGTTTTCCTAGTATCTTTAGTCATATATATATATATATATATATATATATATATATATATTTATTTATTTATTTATATATATATATATATATATATATATATATATATAGGCAGAAATATAGTTTTAAGGTGTGATATATTTATTGGATAAATTGCTCAATATCAGATATAGAGCGTATGTAGATATAAATAAAAGTAAACATTGAAGTCACACTCAGAGGCGACAGGCTGTTTCATGCTAGACGCCTGACTATTGCGTCTAGCATGAAACAGTCTGTCGCCTCCGAGTGTTGACTTCGTTTACTTTTATATATATATATATATATATATATATATATATATATATATATATAGAGAGAGAGAGAGAGAGAGAGAGATGGAGGAAAAGAAAGTGAGAAAGAAAGAGAGAGAGAGCGCGAGACTGACAAATAAAGATATATATAGGGAGAGATCGAATGTAATAGAAATTTCTTTTTAGTTCTGTTTTCTCTCCTTTAGAAGAGTGTATTGCAAGTCTTAATAACCAAACTTAATCAAAAGAATTTAAAAGAAGACTTTCTTTTAGTTTGATGATGGATACTAAGTTCATTACTCCGCTATCAAATTGTTTTCGACAAACGTAATGTTTCAGCTTCGCCATGATTCATCAGGTCTTATTATAAAGTTAGTAAAAGCTCAGCAGCCAGTAAAAATGAGGCAATAAACGTAAATGAATTACGACACCAATTACAGCATCACAATTGGGAATGAATAACATTGAAAACAACAGATTACATCAAATAAGGACGTCGAAAAGAAAAAAAAAATACTCAGTTCGTAACTAGTTACAAGCGAAATCCTACAACGTAAAAGGAGAGAAACGAAAGAAATGCAGACGACAAAGCAGCCCAACATATAAATGAGTATAATTGAAATGTAATGACATAAAACAATCCGCTAGAGGGCGCTGTTGTCGACTTTCTCGTGAAATGACGCTTCAGGGCGCCAAAAGCGGCTTTCCTTCAAGTTAAAATTCGCTAGAGGGCGCTGTTACTGAATTCTGAAAAAGAAGTAAAATTTAAGGAATTTCATTTCATTTCATTTGTTTGTTCTGCCGATTCTTGGAACTGGAATGTCGTTGCTCATATGATAAAGATATCATACCATTCGCGATGGTAATATCAGTAGTTTACAGATTATGATCACATACGTCTCACTAAAATACTTATATCGCTTCTCGTACTGCCTCCATGTGAATGAGACACATACATTTGAGTTCTGAATAATCCCACGTAATAGAAAGCCAATTGTCGGATATTTCAAACTTATTAATAAAAATTAAGCATGTTAATTTTTGGGCGAGGTGGTTCAGTTTTTTTTCTGCTCGCTATTAATAGAGGGCTCAAAGTGAAGCACTTGATTGGGATAGCTCAAGATGCATTCCAAAAGCTAAGCAGAGTATTAAGAGACATGAAAATTTCGTTGGAAACAAAGAAAGGAGTATTGAAATGTTACTTTATATCTATCGTACTGTATGGCAGCGAATGTTGGACACTTGAAGCAATAGAATACAGAAAGGATGCTGAGGATACCATGGACCGAACATTTGAGCAAGGACGATGTTTTGGAGAGGATGGAAACAAAAATAAAACTTATATTTAACATCAGGAAGAGACAGTTGGAATATCTGGGGCACGTAATGAGAAAGGAGAGCTTGGAAAATCTGATACCCCCAGGGCAGATTGAGGGAAAGAGGGACAGAGGCAAGCAACGCGTGACATACTTGATGCGTTTGAGCAAATGGATAGCAGAACAGGGTTGGGGAGAAACAACAAAAAGACAAAAATTCTTAAGAGATACAAAGGACAGAAAGATGTGGAGGGCCATGATCGCCTAAGTCCTCAAGGGACACCGCACATAAAAGAGAGTATAACTAGTCCATTTAAAACAACATATAATTCTTGTGAGTTTATTTACAATCTTCTACTTGGTATTGCCTTTCGTCTCTATCTCGGGGCGACACTGTGGAGTAATGGATAGCGGCTCGGATTGAGGAATCGGAGAGCTGAGTTCGAATTCCAGTCGGATCCATTACATTCTGAGTATGAATCCTCTTCTTCTCCCCCCATAGGTAAATAGCAGAACAGACTTGGTTCTATAACCTTAGGTGGCAAGGAGAAGGGAAAACTTAATTCAAAACCGACCTGGAGAGACTTGCCCAAGAAACACCACTTCTAATGTGGCTGCAGTACACATGGTGTCCCTACGGGATAAAAAAATAATAATTCTTGCAAGTTTACTTACAATCTTCTACATTGGCTTACGGCCATATGATGGTGAAATATCAGCGATCGTGCGAGCACCGAAGTTAAGCAATATTGAACCTGGTCAGTACCTAGTTGGGTGAACGCTTGGGAATAGCAGGAGCTGTCAGCGTGGATGTGAGTTATATTCACTTCCCTGCAAATACCATTGGGAAAGGTATGAATCCACCATGGATGCCCCCAGATATGAACTATTTAATAAAATAATTATTATCTCAAAATATTCTTACAATGCAAAAAATATTTTATGGATTCAAATAAACTCCAAAAGGTTGCTAAGCCTTAAAAAACAAATCAATGAAACAGGCAATTTGATTGGCTTTGAACGGTTTATTTGCCGACAGGAGAATCCTACCAGAATGATTAACATACACGTCAGTTCTGTTTAATAGAACATATTTAAAAGATGTATTTTTCTTAATTATACTATCTATCTATCTATCTAACTATCTATCTATCTATCTATCTATCTATCTATCTATGTCAGTCTGCCTATCTATCTATCTATCTATCTATCTATCTATCTATTTTACTCTGCTTATCTATCTATCTATATATTTTACTCTATCTATCTATCTATCTATCTATCTATCTATCTATCTATCTATGTCAGTCTGCCTGCCTGTCTGCCTATCTATCTATCTATCTATTTTACTCTGCCTATCTATCTATCTATCTATCTATCTATGTCAGTCTGCCCATCTATCTATCTATCTATCTATCTATCTATCTATCTATCTATCTATCTATCTATGTCAGTCTGCCTGCCTGCCTGCCTGCCTATCTATCTATCTATCTATCTATCTATCTATCTATTTTATCTATCTGCTCCATCTATCTATTCATCTATCTATCTATCTATGTCACTCTGCCCATCTATCATCTATTTTACTCTGCCATCTATCTATCTATCTATCTATTCATCTATCTATCTATCTATGTCACTCTGCCCATCTATCATCTATTTTACTCTGCCTATCTATCTATCTATCTATCTATCTATCTATCTATGTCACTCTGCCTATCTATAATCTATTTTACTCTGCCTATCTATCTATCTATCTATCTATCTATCTATCTATCTATCTATCTATGCCTCTTTGTCTTTTTATACTATTGCCCACTCAATATAAGCCACTCATGTTAGAGGTTTACTGAATAAGTTTGTTGTAAGAGTGTAAAAAGAGGATGTTGCATACCATGACGATATGTAGGATAGATAATTGTTGACGCTAAACTTGAAGAGGTTAAGATCGTTGTGATCAAAGTAGCACAATCTCGGCAGTCTGTTCCACAGAGTAACAATTCTGAGGAAGAAGCTAGGGGAACTTTCTTCTTCCCAATGGAATATAAAAGGAGTGAAGAAGATTGGGCCCTGTGTACATGGTATGGCGGGTCCTAACTGTGAAGATCTAAAATGGTGGAACCAAGAATGTAGATTATCTGAATGTTTGCCACAAAAGTAGCGATAGAATAACGAGAGGCGGTCAAGGTTTCGCCTGGGAAGAAGACGTTGTAGAGGGAACTTACCACTATTCAGTTTTTTTAATACCAATTTCGAATTACTGGAGGGAAGGAGTTTCTGCATTAGTTTCTTTGGTAGGAGTGCAGGGAATCGAATTTGCAAACTTCTCATTAACCGGAGAAGGTCTATTTATGGCATTTATGTATCTTCGTAGCTCTAGTATTCATAGTTCGTAGAAGAGCGCTGGTAAAAACATGAAATGATAACAGCAAAAAAAAAAAAAAATTGCAATATGAGCATTGGTAAAAATGGTTGCTAAAGACATTAGGTTTATAATACCCAGAAATTCATACACAGATGTCCTCAAGGACAGATGGCACATTGGATAAAGGCGTTAGTCAGATCCAGTGACAGGACCCAAAGAGTGTGAGTTCAGTACCTGGTTAGTGGGAAATTAACAGGAGATAACTGATAACTGACGTCCATTAAACATGGCACGTGGAACTAGAATATTCTATCCCAGTGAACGAAATAAAGGGTTAAGTTCGATATTCCAACCATCTGCAGAAGGCCGGAGCGTACAACGGCCGAAGCGTTGTAATAAATATTTTCTCGCATTTCCCGTTTGTGGAACTCCCTTCCGTTTTCTTGCTTCCCTAACAACTACAATTTTCAAAAATTTAAATGCAACGTCAATCGCCATCTTCTATCTTCTTGAACTCGTTCAGCTTTTATCTTTTCCTCGGTCCCCTCCATGCTTAGTCTTTTCTCTCTCCTTCACTTTCTGTAACCCCCTGCGTACCAGTGACATTCCCGCCTTGCTTGGCGTGAAACGACTAAAATTAAAAAAAAAACGGAACATTGAAAAACAATAATGAAAAGAATATAGCTCTGTAAGCTCCCTGCGAAACGGGTTCAACGACCATCGTTTCTCTAAATTACATACGACAGATTACATTGTGTTATGTGGTGCCAGCAGCTGTGAATAATACCTAACTTGAATTAATATCAAACGTCCAAGATGAATTGCTTCTCAAAGCGATATTTGTGAGTTATCGTACTTGGTTTTGCCAAAAAGCTTTGCTAGGGGGCGCTCTTTAAGCCTAGGAAGATGCAATCATATTTTTTTCTGTCACTATCTTGTTTTTTTCAACGTGAAAATCACTATCGATATATTTTCAAGAATGTGATACATTCTAACTAGAAATTCTACAGCACTTTGAAATGACAGTACTTCAGAGAAGTACATTTTCCTCGACATGTTTAATCACACACATCTTAACACTATTGGGCTTTTTTACTTTTCGGCCTACAAGGGACAGAGCAGAATATATTTCAAGTTCATAGACATATTGGCATAATAAAATTACCCGTATCTGTGGGGGACCGCACTTGGAACCGCCAAAAGCGCTCGTTAGGGGAGTGCTCTTTAGGTCTATAAAAACGCAGTCATAATCTTTCTCTTTCTCTTCTTAGACCTTTTTAACATATGCAGTCGACGTCGATAAAGAACTCGGCCGCTGGGTCACGATCGCTTCCTTGGTCGTCTGTTGACATTTGAACTCTCTCACACGCGCACATACACACACGTGTCTATTACATACGCTTATTTCGTACAAAATATCTGGGTTGGCTGATTTTTTAGCGATATATCAACGCCTCAGTGAGCTATTATAATGGCAAAATCTAACTTATTTGAACACAATTTTATGGCTTCACTAAATATACATTGAACGCAATTGTATGCCTTGAACTAAATATATTTTGAACGCAATGGTATGCCTTAACTAAATATATTTTGAACGCAATTGTTTGCCTTCAACTAAAGATAAAATTTATTGCTGGTCATTTTTGCTTTAAAAATGTATTGTTGGTTATTTTTTTCTATAAATATATGTTTTTGGTCCTTTTTTATATAAAAACTAGCAGCATGGACCGGCTTGCTTCAAAAATCGTACGACTCATGCAGCAATCGTTATCATTTGACTTAAAATATTTTTGCCCTTCCTTGCCTTTAAAGGAGTACCCTTTGCCGTGCTGATGTCGCTACATTCCTTACTTATTGTCTATCTCACAGTGAATTTTTTCTAAGCTCTATACTAAACATTAAACCTGTTACGAAAAAAGAACTAAACAAAATGAACACAAAACGATCAGCTTTAAAAAAGGACTCGTAACTGGAAAAACCGAATGAAAAAAGAATGTTAACAACAAATACTTTTTCATACCCAAATCATTTCTGTGGAATCAGAATCAACATTGAGTTTAAGCAAGCGAATGAGCCAATTGGAGTAAAGTGCCATGCAGATTTAAATTTTTCCCACTTGTGACGAATGCAGCTATCGATTTTTTTGCATGCTAGTTAACATTTGTGTCAGTCAGCTGTTAGCTCTCATGCTGGCCAATAGAATCTTCCTGCCTATTCGTGGCAGCCAGCTATAGGCTCTCACTCTGGGCACTAGAAAATGGCCGCAAACTACATGAAAACTGCCGTAGAAGCATGAAAAATCGATTATTTTCACTATCGATGGGAGTTGGGAAATGCAAAGTCGGTCTTGACCTTCCCCGCTAACTTGGAGCATGTGCATGTAAATTTTTGTGCAAATCCGTCGAAAATTGCGGCCGTGCATTCGTTACACACACACACACACACACACACACACATTCTGCCTTTTATAGATAAAGATGTATTGCTGGTACTTAAATAATAAAAAAAACTATTTTCATACATTTTGCTTTTGTTTGAGGATTCACCATTTACCCATAGCTGGGACCCTCGGAATAACAGCAGTTAAGAGGTGTTTCCCCGTTCCTCAGCACCTCCAATCTACTGATGAGTATCCTTGCTGCCGAATGTAGTTTATCAACATACTCAGGACTTGAGTGAAAGTAATAAAAAGCACAGCCGACAAGATAAAGTGTGTATGATTGCGCGCGCGTGTGAGTTTTGGGATAGAAGGAAGGCTCACTAATCCTCATAACATCACTTTGCTCTTGGTAAATCCAGTTTAATTTCACTGGACGCTGTTCGCCTTTATTCAGTACCTTTCTCCCTGCTTTGTAAATGGTTTCCCTGCTCACTGCTTCTTGTGTTTTCTAACTCTTTATATGCGACTGCTCTCAATGTGCTCGGCACTTTAGATGCATCCTTCAAGAAGACAAATTAAAACAGGTAAATATGCAAAAAAAATGCACGCTTTAAAATTAGTTTAAACTGAAACAATCATCATGTAAGAATTACAAGGACATCACGTGTGTATATTTCTTTTTGTACTAATACAGGTTCCCCCACCAGGGTTTCATCCATGATTCTAGATTGTTTTTGATTTTCATTAATGATCTTTCCGATGACATTAGTTCTCAACTTGGAATCTACGCTGATGACACAAGTATTTACTCCTGTTGCGATACTAATTCTGAACAGTTTGATAAGATCAAAATGGGAGCTAAAATCCCAAACGACTTTCAGTCTGTAGTTAACAGGGGCAAAAGATGGCTTGTTAATTTTAACACCTCCAAAACTAAACTGCTCTCTATTAATCTCCTGAGAGACCCCTCTGCCTCCCGTCAGCATGACTGATGCTATCCTCCGGAAGAGTGACTCGGTACGCCTTCTCGGGCTAACGTTCTCTGCTGACATGAAGC